AAAATGTCAAAGGAGTCAGGACCATCTCCACCGTCCTGAACTCCAGGAATGTGGAGAATGTGCTGCGTTCAAATCCCATTATCCTCCCAAGTGCAGGAGACCAGGCTTCACTGTTAAAGCAGAGACTTGAGAAAGACTTGTCCAGAGGAGACTTTAGTTCTGCAATTCATTTACCTACTGACATTATCAAGCTGCTCTTCTCTTCTTCACTGATTTTCAAAATATTGGACAAAAACAAAGGAGCCATTGGTCCATAAAAATGTTAATAAATATCCTTAAGGTCCTGGATCTAGACTCAAAAAACCCAGTGGGAAGAAAATGAGAAACCTCAGAGAGAGAGATCTGCTCCTATGAACGAACAGGACCGAGGCTGTAGACCCAGGACTGAGGCTGTAGATCCAGGACTGAGGCTGTAGACCCAGGACTGAGGCTGTAGACCCAGGACTGAGGCTGTAGACCCAGGACCGAGGCTGTAGACCCAGGACTGAGGCTGTAGACCCAGGACTGAGGCTGTAGACCCAGGACTGAGGCTGTAGATCTAGGACTGAGGCTGTAGATCCAGGACTGAGGCTGTAGACCCAGGACTGAGGCTGTAGACCCAGGACTGAGGCTGTAGATCTAGGACTGAGGCTGTAGATCCAGGACTGAGGCTGTAGACCCAGGACTGAGGCTGTAGACCTAGGACTGAGGCTGTAGATCCAGGACTGAGGCTGTAGACCCAGGACTGAGGCTGTAGACCCAGGACTGAGGCTGTAGATCCAAGACTGAGGCTGTAGACCCAGGAGGACTGAGGCTGTAGACCCAGGACTGAGGCTGTAGACCCAGGAGGACTGAGGCTGTAGACCCAGGACTGAGGCTGTAGACCAGGACTGAGGCTGTAGACCCAGGACTGAGACTGTAGACCCAGGACTGAGGCTGTAGATCCAAGACCGAGGCTGTAGACCCAGGACTGAGGCTGTAGACCCAGGACCGAGGCTGTAGACCCAGGACCGAGGCTGTAGACCCAGGACTGAGGCTGTAGACCCCGCTTCCTGTTTTATATTTTTTTAACGTCTCTGAAAGAATCTTGGAGATCAGAGAATCTTTCCTGTGATCGTGTTTAGTCTGAGTCCCTGATCCAGACTCAGACAGATCTGATCAGAGACGTCTGAGCTTCACCAAAACAAAAGTCCTCTCAACGACAAAGAAAAGGCTTTTATTGTGAAAGACAGTTTTATTTTGAAAGGACTGAGTGAGACTTTTGGACATGGGACTGTTAGCATTAGCGGTTAGCATTAGCGGTTAGCATTAGCTGATCATGCAAAATAGTTTAAAGTCCTGATACTACAACTACTACTACTACTACAACTATAACTACTACTACAACTATAACTACTACTACTATTACTACTACTACAACTATAACTACTACTACAACTATAACTACTACTACAACTATAACTACTACTACAACTATAACTACTACTACTATTACTACTACGACAACTATAACTACTACTACAACTATAACTACTACTACAACTATAACTACTACTACAACTATAACTACTACTACTATTACTACTACGACAACTATAACTGCTACTACTAATACTACTGCTACTGCTACTACTACTTTTCTTACATGTATGGTTACTTCACTTGAATGCGAAAGCCAGATCCTGTCAGACCTCTGAAGCTAAGCAGGTCAGGGCCTGGTTAGTGCTCTGATGGGAGACCTCTGGGAACAGCAGGTGCCACAGTGGGGCGGCTGTAAAGTGCCAACTCCTTTGGCAAGACACTTCCCCCGCATTAGAAAGAGTCTGGTGTGTGAATGGTTGCTGGTCTCTCTCTCTGGTCTCTCTCTGGTCTCTCTCTCTGGCCTCTCTCTGGTCTCTCTCTCTGGCCTCTCTCTAGTCTCTCTCAGGTCTCTCTGGTCTCTCTCTGGTCTCTCTGGTCTCTCTCTCTGGTCTCTCTCTGGTCTTTATGGTCTCTCTGGTCTCTCTCTGGTCTCTCTGGTCTCTCTCTCTGGTCTCTCTGGTCTCTCTCTGGTCTCTCTCTCTGGTCTCTCTGGTCTCTCTCTGGTCTCTCTGGTCTCTCTCTCTGGTCTCTCTCTGGTCTCTCTGGTCTCTCTGGTCTCTCTCTGGTCTCTCTGGTCGCTCTCTGGTCTGTCTGGTCTCTCTCTCTGGTCTCTCTCTGGTCTCTCTCTGGTCTCTCTCTGGTCTCTCTCTGGTCTCTCTCTGGTCTCTCTGGTCTCTCTCTGGTCTCTCTGGTCTCTCTCTCTGGTCTCTCTCTGGTCTCTCTGGTCTCTCTGGTCTCTCTCTGGTCTCTCTGGTCTCTCTCTGGTCTCTCTGGTCTCTCTCTGGTCTCTCTCTGGTCTCTCTCTCTGGTCTCTCTGGTCTCTCTCTGGTCTCTCTGGTCTCTCTCTGGTCTCTCTGGTCTCTCTCTCTGGTCTCTCTGGTCTCTCTCTGGTCTCTCTGGTCTCTCTGGTCTCTCTCTGGTCTCTCTCTGGTCTCTCTGGTCTCTCTGGTCTCTCTCTGGTCTCTCTCTGGTCTCTCTCTGGTCTCTCTGGTCTCTCTCTGGTCTCTCTCTGGTCTCTCTCTGGTCTCTCTGGTCTCTCTGGTCTCTCTGGTCTCTCTCTGGTCTCTCTCTGGTCTCTCTGGTCTCTCTGGTCTCTCTGGTCTCTCTGGTCTCTCTCTGGTCTCTCTCTGGTCTCTCTCTGGTCTCTCTGGTCTCTCTGGTCTCTCTCTGGTCTCTCTGGTCTCTGGGAACAGCAGGTGCCACAGTGGGGAGGCTGTAAAGTGCCAACTCCTTTGGCAAGACACTTCCCCCGCATTAGAAAGAGTCTGGTGTGTGAATGGTTGGTGGTGGTGGGAGGGGCCGACGACACAGACTGGTTGCCTCTCTTCACTGTAAACCCTAACTTCAAGCCTACTTCAGATATCAAAGTTATTTTAAATAGATTTTACCCAGTAAGTAGATATTACTCATTTATTGTTAGTTTATTTAAAGCTTGCCTATATCACTCAGGGTTTTCTTTGAATTGAACTGTTTCTGTTCAAGTAAGCCTCACTTTTGACATTTTGCGTAGAGTCTTTAATGAGGCAGGTGTGACAGGTCAGGGTGTCTTGGTGGCTGAGTGGTTAGCACCATTACCTCTCAACTACAGGGGTCTGAGTACGATTCCCGGTCGGAACATAAGTAGAAATTTAATCTTTATTGCAATCACTTGAGTTACTTGGTAATATCAAGTAAAGGATGTACTCGAGGAATTCAAGTGAAGTTAATACGCAATTTATTTCCATGGTTTTTTCAAGTAAACTTTACTTGTCAGGGTTTACAGTGTTCTGTTAGTGTGCCCCAGGGCAGCTGTGGCTACAGAGTAGTTCATCACCACCGTGTTTGGAGAGAAAGGATAATGATTTAATCCTGTAGTTGCACAGCTGAAATTAGTGGTTATTGATTGTACTTACTTTACATTGAAGCAGTTACATATTGATCATTTTGTCTTTCGCTCCTAAATAGATCTGATGAATCTCTCAAGGCTAACCACTCTGCCGCTCCCACAGTGGCTCAGTGTGAAGTCGCTGAAACCTTTCACTAGCGTCGCAAATCTGAGCCTCGGAAAACTCATTTAGTCCTTGCTGACAGCGCGGTGACAGTAAATGTTTGTGTTTACTCCGTTTACGGCGAAAAATCTCAAACACGAAGCGTTTAAGTGATTTTCCTCCGGCTCCCGTCGACTCAGACCAGTTCAGCTCAGTCCAAATAAGGACAAATCAGAGTCAGATGTGAGTTATTGCGAGCCGTGGTTCTCACACTTTCACTCATTTGACTTTTTGCCATTAGCGCGAGTAAGGAGGCCCGGTATGCTAGCTTTAAAATGAGCTAATTCTAGTTATAATTTCAAGTTTCTGCTTCTGACTGACCTGCTTTAGACCTGTCGCACCTGAAATGTAGTGGACTAAAGACACAAAGAGCAGTTTGTTTTGGAAACCAGAGACTGAGAATGAAGTTACAGAAGAGAGAGAGAGCGAGAGAGAAGAATGTGGAGAGTTTAAAGCCCTTTGTGTCTAAATGTTCTGTGATCTTGTCCATGTCCCAGATTATACAGAGGATTATTAAACCAACGGATTCACTATTATAGCTTTTATATCTGAACTCTGGACATTGTGAAGCGCTTTGGGAGACTGCGGTCTGTACCATGTGCTGTTTAAATAAAGATCAAGCAGTTCAAACAACAAAACAACACGGAACTAAAGCAACATTAACCCAAAGAAAAGCCGTGACGAGTTCTGCTCATGTTATGGCATTTTATTTATTTAATTTTTTTTTTTTTTTTTTATATAATGTTTTTTTAGTATTTTATGTATTATTATTCGTATTATTATTTTTTTATTTATTATTATTATTATTATTATTATCATTTATTTATTATTATTTTTTCTTCTTCTATGTATTATTATCATTATTATTGTTTATTATTTTTATTTTTTATTATTTATTATTATTGTTATTATTATTATTATTATTATTATTATCATTATTGTATTTATTTATTATTTATATAACAGTGACAATGCACTATAAATGCATCGTTTAGACAGGACACAACTAGCACTCTCGCTTCTCTGCAAGAAGGTTCTGGGTTCGAATCCCGGTCAGAACAGGGCCTTTCTGAGTGGAGTTTGCATGTTCTCCCCGTGTCTGCGTAGGTTTCCTCCAGGTGCTCCGGTTTCCCCTGCCACTAAAAACATGTACAATAGGTCTGAGTGTAATGATTGAGTAATTGGAGGGTGTTTGGTCGGAGGCTTTGATGGTCCAGTGTGTTCTGGTCTCGCTTCATCACCGTGTGGAGAGACTGGAACAATATCTGGACATTAGTTAAGTGCTTTGGGTCTGTACCTTGGTCTGTAAAATGCGCTATATAAATAAAAAAAATCTTACATACTTACTTGTGTGTCTCTAACCCCCTGTTGTGTGTTAATGTTGTGTAGTCTAAACCTGTTGTGTGTCCGCAGACCTGAAGATGAGGCTGTGGATCGTCCTGCTCGTGTGTGTGGCCTCTCAGGCTCTGGCTGCTCCGGTGAGTCACAGGTTTCACTGTTCTCTCACTCTCCAAAAGTCCTCTCTCTCTTTCTTTATCTGTCTGTCTCTCTTATCTCTCACTCTTTATCTGTCTCTCTTATCTCTCTCTCTCTCTTTATCTGTCTCTCTCTCTCTTTATCTGTCTCTCTCTCTCTTCTCTCTGTCTCTCTCTTCTCGCTCTTCTGTCGCTCTCCTGTCTCTCTCTCTCCCATCTCTCGTCTCTCTCTCTCTTGTCTCTCTTCTCTCTCTCTTTTGTCTCTCTCTCTTCTCTCTCTTGTCTCTCTCTCTTCTCTCTCCTGTGAGGCAGAAGTGCAGGGGGGTCCTCTCTTCTCTCTCTCTTCTCAGTCTTCTCTCTCTCTCCTGTCTCGCTCTTGTCTCTCTCTCTCGTCTCTCTTCTCGCTCTCTCTCCTGTCTCTCTCTTGTCTCTCTCTTCTCTCTCTCTCTTGTCTCTCTCTCTTCTCTCTCCTGTGAGGCCGAAGTGCAGGGGGTCCTCTTTTGTCTTGTCTCTCTCTTGTCGCTCTCTCTTGTCTCCCTCTTGTCTCTCTCTCTCTTCTCTTGTTTTTCTCTCTCTTGTCTCTCTCTCTCTCTATTGTCGCTCTCTCTTGTCTCTCTCTTCTCTCTCTCTCTCTTGTCTCTCTCTTCTCTCTCTCTCTTGTCTCTCTCTCTCTTCTCTTGTTTCTCTCTCTCTCTCTTGTCTCTCTCTCTTGTCTCTCTCTTCTCTCTCTCTCTTGTCTCTCTCTCTTGTCTCTCTCTCTCTTCTCTTGTTTCTCTCTCTCTTGTCTCTCTCTCTCTCTCTTGTCTCTCTCTCTTGTCTCTCTCTTCTCTCTCTCTCTTCTCTCTCTCTCTTGTCTCTCTCTCTCTTGTCTCTCTCTCTCTTGTCTCTCTCTCCCTCTCTTGTCTCTCTCTTGTCTCTCTCTCTTGTCTCCCTCTTGAGAAGAAGTGCAGGGGGTCCTCTCTTGTCTCTCTCTCTCTCT